ATTGAAACCTAAGTAGCTGGTCTCTCTGTGGAAGCTAAGCAGGGTTGTCATTGGTTAATGTTAGGATGGGAGACCCCCCCAATGTTGTATGAAAGTTTGAGGAGTCTCAGAAATCTCAGCAGCAGAAAAGAATGTCAGGTTGATGTTGAGGAATGTCCAGGCTTGACTTGAAGGAGGCATCTCTGGTCCCCTTTGGCTGTACCATCCAAAATACTGAAGGATGGCAAAGCCAGAGACAAGTGAGTGGAAATGTTTTTCACCTCATTCCCTGGAGTAATCCCATGGCAGAACTCACTACGCAAAGGAACCTCTACTTTCAGAGGCAGTCTACCCCAGAATGCCAGCCTGGAACAGCCCCTGTCTCAGCCATGGGCTTCTCTCCAAACGGAGACCTCCTCTTCTCCCCCAAAGGCTTCCTCCTTGTGCAGACCGGAACAATGAGAACGTCCCACCCCAAAAACGGACCACAACTTCCTTGAATACCACCCCCTTACTCTGCCCTTTTGTTTTGGGTTTGATTGCCACCCAAGATCAAAGTTTGGTGGCCTTACCTAAGTCCAGGCACACGATTGTCACCACCACCAAGGTCAGCAGCAGAGTTTTCATCTTGCGATCTTCTCTGCAGCCTACAAAGTGTAGCCCAGGGTGGAAGCAGACACTTATTTATACCCCTTTGAGTTGGGGGTGGGGTTGTATATTTAGGATATCTAGAGAGAATCATAGGAAGATTCAGGAGAAAGGGGAAGGCCGGGGGTGTGGCTTTTTTGCCCCTGACACCAAAACGGAAGCCAGATCAGATCAGGTGAAGCATCAACCAATCATTCCCCGACTTCAAGGAACACGCTTCTATTCTGCATACAAAACTTGGGCACCTGGACAATTGGCATCTTTTCCTGTATTTATAAAAGATTATACAATCCTTACATAACGCAAAATTAAACAAAATATCTCTCTGCAAGTTCAGCGCCTTCCTATTTTTATTTGTACTTCAGTTAACCAAGTGAGCAGCTTCTCTGAATCTTCTAACTTCTCAGGATGCTACTGTGGATCTGCCTTCCTTCAAGAAACATGGCCTCCTTTGAGCAGATCAGCGCATGAGTAGCTCTCTCCAAAACTATCCTGTGGACTAAAGGATTCACAAGATACAAAAGTCAGAATAAACAAGGGAGACAGATCAAACACGGCAGTAGGGTTTCTGGTACAAAACTATGAACAGGAACAGCAGGACAGATGATTCCAAGGGATGCCTTGAGTCATTAGTCAACAATTCCTGCAAAGAAAAGATCTCCTTACTGATGACTTTTGTTATGTCTCCGGGACTGACACAAGTTCCCCATCAGGTCCGTTCATCCTGCGGGGGCGTTTGCAGCCCCCATTGGCTGGCTCCCTTCGACAGCCAGCTATAAAAGCCGGCTGCTAGGTCGAGCCAGTCGCTGTTTGCTGGAAAGTCCGCTTGTTAGCATGCAGACGCAACAACCCCCTTTATTCCCTGAATAAAGCGTGTTATTGAGATGCTCTGGTGTGGCCTCCCCTTTTTTCCGAGCTATAACATTGGCGACGAAGGTGGGATCTGGCCAACCAGCAGCAAATATCAAAAGAGCTGAAAACACACACCAAAACGCTGAACCGTAGCCACGCCGTTGAGAGCTCGGTCAGTCGTAGATTGCGGAAGTGAAAGTGGAGCATGTAGCCGCTCAGTTAAAAAAGCTACGTGAGAAAGTAGGGCACTGAGAACCTCAGCCGCCCAGCATTTGAGCACAGAATTCAACCGCTGCTGTTCGGATTCTGTTGTTAGCGAAGCTTTCAGCGCTGCGCTCACAGCCGCCAGAACACATTAGGCGCGCAATTTGAATAGCTGTCAGCACGACGCTACAGCTATAGCCGCCTACGCCCTTGTAAGGGCGTGAAATTCAAACTGAAGTCAGTTACGGCGCTACAGCCATAGCCGCCATAGCCACATAGAGCGTGTAACCCAGAGAGATCCTCTAAGAGCTGAAGCAGCACTGCGAACTGCAGTTGCCACATTTATCTGGGCCTTGTATTCCCAGTGAGATTGGTCAGTCTACCAACAGACTGAACACCCAATATGAATTAAAATCCGGCGTTTCCACCATTTAAGCCAGATGAAGACAAGTGGGACTCTTACAGAAACCGCTTCAATCACTACATTGATGCCATTGGTCTGGCCGTTGCTACAGAGAACAGGAAGAAATCGTACTTCCTGAGTTACTGTGGGGCCACAGTATTCGATACCGCCACAGCGCTATTCACCCCAAGAGAATTAAAGAGCGTCCCTTGGTCCGAGCTGTTGGAGACACTCTCCAACCATTATTCCCCAAAGCCATCGCAGATAGCGAGACGTTTTGCCTTTCGTATGAGGAAGCAAGCAGATGGGGAATCTATCAATCAGTATATGGCCGCCCTGAGAACCGCAGCCCTCCACTGCGAATTTAAAAATTACCTAGACGACATGCTCCTTGATCAACTCGTCTGTGGAGTCAGAGATGTAAGGTTACAGAGGCGTTTGCTGGCCAGAAAAGATCTCAACCTCACCCAGGCGATCGAAGAAGCCTTGGCCGCAGAACTAGCGACCCAGTCGGCCGCTGAAATACAAGGAAGCGCAGCCAAACCCAGTCCAGTCACTGTTCATTCCGAGGAAGCGGTGAGCGAAGAAGACCCCACCGAACACTTAGAACTTCATCGCCTCAAACCTTTCAAGCAGCCACAGGTAGGAGCTAGGCCAAAAAACGGCAACGCGCCTAAACACATCCTGTTGTGCCTCTCCTGCGGGGGGTCCCATGCCAGAACGACTTGCAGGTTCAGGTACGCCACCTGCAACAATTGCGACAAGAAAGGCCACATCGCCAGGGCCTGCCAGGCAACGCACGCGGCTCCACAAAAGTCATCATCCTCTTACTCCCCTCCGGGGCCACCCAGGCAAGTAGAAAATTGTTATACGTGCTACCAAGCTAACCACACTTTTTTGACACCTAATAAAATTACGCTCTCTATTCATTTAGAAGGTAAACCCTGCCTTATGGAAGTCGATACCGGGCCAGCGCTCTCGATCATCTCATGGAGCACACTTAAGAAAATACGACCCAGCCTGTCCAGGAAGCAACTCCAGAAGAGTCGTCTCACTTTGAGGGATTATCAAGGGAAGAATATTCCAGTACTCGGAACAGGCAAGTTCCTCGTTAGATTCAAATCCTTTAAAGGCCATCTGCCTTTGGTGGTGGTAGATGGTGCCCTCCCTAGCCTTTTGGGGTTGGATTGGTTCCCCTATCTCGGTCTTAGCTTAACGGGAGTACATGCTGTCTCACCTTCCGATATCGACTCACTATTTTCAGACTATGCTGATGTGTTCAGCAATGAATTGGGTTGTTATAACGGTACGCCCATTTCCTTTTTGGTGGACCCCCAAGCAGTTCCCGTCCATTTAAAACCGCGTAGAGTACCATTTGCCCTGCGCTCTAAGCTGGATGCAGAACTGGACAAATTGCTCAAACAAGGGGTGATCGAGCCCACAGATTTTGCTAAATGGGAGACCCCAATTGTCACACCCCTAAAAAAAGATGGCAGTATAAGAATGTGTTCTGACTATAAGACCACAATTAACCGCTATCTACAGACTAGCGCGTACCCAGTCCCAGTAATCCAACACTTACTACACACATTTGAGCCGGGAACCATATTCGCCAAATTGGATATGTCACAGGCTTATCAGCAATTCCCTGTGGATAACCAAACGGCCGAATTACAAACTATTGTCACCCACAGAGGGGCATTTCGATGCAAGCGCCTCCAATTTGGCGTTAGCGTCGCCCCAGGTATCTTCCAGTCATTAATGGAGCGGATACTGCAAGGCCTCCCTGGTGTAGTTCCGTACTTTGATGACATTTTGGTTTCAGCCAGGGACAGACCCCAACTTTTCCTCAGAGTCAGAGCGGTATTGGATAGGTTCAGGCAGCATGGCCTCAAACTAAAAAGGGAGAAGTGTGCCATCGCCACTAAGCAGGTGGACTTTCTTGGGTATAAAATAGACGCCTCTGGCATCCACCCGGTGGAGTCTAAAGTCAAAGCCATTCACGAGGCACCCACTCCGGCTTCCAAGTCAGAATTACAAGCTTTCCTGGGTTTGCTAAACTTCTATGCGTCGTTCCTACCCCACAAAGCGTCAGTAGCTGAACCGTTGCATAGACTTCTAGACAAAAACACTCCATGGCATTGGGGACCCAAAGAGGAATACGCCTTTAAGGCAGTCAAATTGCTACTCACTTCGGATGCTGTCCTAATACAATTCGACCAGCACCTTCCTCTAGTCTTAGCTGCAGATGCCTCACCTTTCGGGATTGGGGCTGTCTTAAGCTACAGACTCCCCAATGGCTCCAAAGCTCCAATCGCATTCTTTTCTAGAACCTTTTCAACAACCAAGCGTAATTATAGCCAAATTGACAAAGAGGCCCTAGCCGCCGTTGCTGCGGTCAAAAAATTCCATGAATTTCTTTTCGGTCACAACTTCGAACTTGTCACAGATCACAAACCACTGTTGGGGCTCCTCTCAGGAGAAAAACAAACACCGCAAGTCTTGTCTCCCAGAATGACTAGGTGGACCTTATTCCTGGCGGCTTACTCGTACAAACTGGTTCACCGCCCAGGAAAAAACCTTAGCCACGCCGACGCCCTCAGCCGCTGCCCGTTGCCAGCACCCGTGGAGGACCCGGCCCCGGTCCATGCCATTTTCGATGCCAGTGAGTTCAACATCCCAGTCACCGCTGGCGACATCGCTCTCCACTCCAAAAAAGACAAACTTATCGCCCAGGTCCTGGACTGGGTACGGAGGGGGTGGCCGGGCAGTAATCTCTCAACTGAATTCTCACTGTTTAAAACCCGCCAGCAAGAACTTTCCAGTTTACAGGGCTGCCTGTTGTGGGGGACCAGAGTTGTCATTCCAAAGCCACTGCGCACACCCGTCCTGAAGGCATTACACGAGGGACACCCTGGCATCGTCCGGATGAAAGCATTGGCTCGGAGTTACGTCTGGTGGCCGGGCATGGACGACGAGATCACGAAATGGGTAAGCTCCTGCCGCCCCTGTCAAGAGTCCAGGCCAGCACCACTGATCACCACCCCAACCAAATGGGAAAGTGCCAACGCACCGTGGTCACGGTTGCACATTGACTTGGCCGGGCCCTTCCACGGCAAGACCTTCTTGGTGGTCGTGGATTCGTTCTCCAAATGGATCGATGTGGCCCTCCTACTCACAACCACCACCCGAGCAATTGCCCAGGCTCTGACCCGCTTATTTGTTACACACGGTCTGCCTGACACCATAGTCTCAGACAATGGCCCCCAATTTACGTCCACAGAATTCAGCCGGTATGTCACCAACCTGGGCATCCGGCATATCCTAACGGCCCCTTTTCATCTCGCCAGCAATGGGTTGGCGGAGAGAGCCGTTAGGTCAGCAAAAGAGGCGTTAGCAAGATTCACTCAAGACGACTGGCACTCCAAACTCTCTCGCTTTCTTTTAAGCCAACACTCGACCCCATGTACTGTCACAAACAAGTCTCCAGCCGAGTTACTGATGGGCAGACGCCTAAGGACAGTGCTAGATAGACTGCATCCCCACTATTGCCCTGACACACCAATTGGTTCTAACACGAGGGTCAGGAGTTTTGTATTACAGGACCAAGTGTTTGTCAGGAACTACGCAGGCGATCCACTGTGGGTACCTGGGAAGATCGTGGCCATCACCGGTCCAAGGTCATACCGCATCCAGTTGGGGGACGGGCGTATCTGGCGGAGGCATCTGGATCAGATAAGAAGTCGCCAGGGCGAACATGCCAACGCTGACCCAGGGACTCCGGTGACTCTCCAATCGCCGCACCCGAATCCTAGCTGGGACCTCCAGAGTGACCAGTCTCCACCAGCCGAGTCAAGGGAACGGACGGTAGACCGGGACCGTCCTACAGAGTCGTCAGCCGTACCGACCAACGACACCACCGGGTTGCGTGACAATGACAATTTAACAATCCAACCCGAGGACTGTGACCACTCCCAGACTCCAGACCGGACCCCAGATCGTTCCTGCTGTCCGGCAAAGCCAGTTCCTGACTCCCAGAACTCTATGCCACTTTGTGTCTCGCCAGAATTGCGCCGGTCAGGGCGCTCGCACAAGCCACCCGCTTACTTAAAGGACTATTCGTGTTCGTATCTGGGGGGAAGGGGTGTTATGTCTCCGGGACTGACACAAGTTCCCCATCAGGTCCGTTC